GGGCAGCAAGCAGCCCCAGAACCGCTGTGCACAAGTTCCAGGGAAGAAAGCCTCACATGGCCAGCAGCTGCCTTGTGAAGGGCCAGGCTGGGCACGCCTTGTTAGCGGGAAGAAGAAGATGACAGGTCATCTGGGGTGGCAGAGCGCAGGGTGGCAGGAGGCCAAAGTACATAGATAAGAGGAGATAGGCAGGTGTGGAGAGTTGAAGCACCACTGCAGTTGTAAGCACCCAAATTTTGATCATGTGACCGTGGGAGGTACTGCAATGGGCATAACTTTGGGGACCAATCGTAAGTCCCCTTCATTCAGTACCACCGTAACTTTGAAGGGTTGCTGAACGAATGGTCATAAGTCGAGGACTACCTGTATGGTGCTCACTGTGTGACTTTGAGCTAGTCACTTCATAAACTTAATTGCTTGGGTAAGATAACAAGTGACTGCTGCAGGTCATTTGAGCTCACCAAGGAAAGCTGGGTGTAAACAGTTGTAATAGTAGTAATAGTTGTGCTATTTCCTTAAGTAGAAAACTAGGTAGATCACTCATAGAATAAAAAGTCCCAGTAAGCTGGTGCAGAGAAAAAAAATGGACAGGATTTAATTTTTTTTGTCTTTTATTATGCTTGACAGTGAAACACTATTTTGGGTGGCGGTGGACTCTCCTTTGCTGAAAATATTTAAACAGAAGCTGGATGGCCGTTTATTGAGGATACTGTAGTAATCAATTCCAAGGTCCCTTCCAACCTTTCCATTCTGTGATTCTAGATAACAAAGGATAAACAGCCAGGTGATCCCCAGCATTGCTTTTGCAACTCTGAAAGCATCACTGTTTGTAAAGCCCAGTCTTCTAGCTCAGTTTTTTGCATGAAGGAGGGAGTTTAAAGGACAATATAAATGCCTTCATTCTGGCAGACGTTTAACTCTTCCTCCATGGGCTGATTTTTCTCTTTGAGGGTTTTAAAGTGCAGTATAAGTATCTTTAGTCTCTTTCAGATGACTCAAGAAATCCATTTTCCATTTATTTAT